CCATGTCTGCTGAGAAGGTTCAGGCAGTCCACAACTGGCCTGAGCCACAGAAGGTGCGAGACATCCAGTCTTTCCTTGGTTTTGCAAATTTCTATAGACGGTTCATTAATAACTACTCTGACATCATCGTTCCGCTCACTTGCCTCAAGTGAAAGGGTGCTCCTTGGAACTTTTCCGAGGAGTGCTGCTCCGCTTTCCTCCGCTTGGAGGATGCCTTCAGCTCCGCTCCTGTTCTCACTCATTGGGTCCCTGACACTCCACTTACAGTTGAAACCAATGCCTCCAACTATGCCATTGCTGGGATTTTGTCAATCACCTGCTCTGACAGTGAACTCCACCCAGTTGCTTTCTACTCTTGCACCATGACCATGCCAGAACTCAACTATGATACCCACGACAAGGAGCTGTTGGCTATCTTTGAGGCTTTCTGCCATTGGCAGCATTACCTAGAAGGTTCTGCCTTACCTGTCAATGTGGTGATGGACCACAAGAACCTTGAGTATTTTTCCACCTCTAAGGTCCTCACTTGTTGACAGGCCCACTGGTCAGAGTACCTTTCACAGTTTAATCTTTCCATCCACTTCTGACCTGGCCAATTAGGAGCCAAACCCGATGCACTTACATGATGTTGGGACATCTACCCAAAAGGGGGGGATAGGGACTACATGCAGGTAAATCCTCACAATCTCTGCCCTATGTTTACACAGGAGCAACTCACACTGTCCCTCCATACCACCACCCTCATGGCACCTGTGCTCCGTGCCGCCATGGTCTTCAATGTTGAGTGCTTGCACTCCAACATCATCTCTGCCCTACCCTCCAATCCTGTCTCCACCAGCCATCTTCCAACTCCAACTAAGCCTCAATGGTCCCTGGACTCTGACAGTCTACTCCGCCTTGACAGTCACATCTTTGTCCCTGACATTGATGACCTCTGCCTTCAAGTGCTTCGGTTCAAGCATGATCATCCTCTAGCAGTCCATTTCAGGCAAAACCACACCCTAGAACTCATCCACAGGGACTATGTGTGGCCTAACCTCTGCTCTGACATGAAAGAATACATCAGGTCTTGCACCACCTGTGGACACAGCAAAACTCCACACCACTGCCCTTATGGTCTACTGAAGCAACTTCCCATCCCAGAGAGACCTTGGAACTCCATCTCCATGGACTTCATCAAACACCTCCCCAACTCTGATGGCTACTCTGCCATACTCATGGTAGTGGACCACCTCTCAAAGCAAGTGGTGTTCATGCCCACCCACGATTCTGTCACCTCCACCGAACTCGCTAAGCTTTTCCTAACCCATGTTTTCTCCAAGCATGGAGTGCCAGCTAATGTCACCTCCAACAGAGGTCCTGAGTTCATCTCACACTTCTTCCACTCTCTAGGAAAAGCCCTTGATATGCGCCTTCACTTCACTTTGGGTTACCACCCAGAAGGCGATGGCCAGACCAAGCGAATGAACCAGACTCTTGAACAGTACCTTCGTGTCTACTGTAACTACCAACAAGACAACTGGGCTGAGCTCTTACCTCTAGCAGAGTTTGCTTTCAACAACGCACCAAGTGCGACTACTGGAGTTTCTCCCTTCTTCACTAACAAGGGATACCATCCAAACTTGTCTGTGGTCCCTGACCAAGACTTCACCTCTCCGAGGGCTCATGACTATGTTGTCGAGCTCTCCACCCTTCATGACTTCCTCTGCTCCAAAATGTCTGCCACTCAACAGCGCTACCAGGGTCCAGCAGATGCTAAACACATACCTCTGCCTGAGTTCAAGGTCGGAGAACAGGCCTATGTCAAAGCCAGGTACTTCCGCTCCACTTGTCCTTTGGAAAAACTCTCTGAAAAGTACTTAGGTCTGTTCACCATCCTGGCCAGGCCAGGTATGCATTCTGTCACCCTTAAGCTCCCTGACTCTATGTGCTCAGTACATCTGGTCTTCCATGTCTCACAACTGGAAGCCACAGCAGCTAACCCTTTCCCAAACCAGCAACAACCTCTGCCTCTGCCAGTGGATGTCGATGGTGACCTTGAGTACGAAGTATCAGAGATACTTGACTCTAAGGTGGACTGCCATCACTGCCACTGTCAACTCTTGTATCTAGTCCGCTGGGCTGGTTACAAGAACACTGACAAAGAAACCTCTTGGTTGCTTGCAACTGAGCTAGATCACGCTTCTGACATAGTATCTGCTTTCCATGAAGGCTATCCACACAAACCTGGCCCATACCAACCTCCACCATAATACTCTGCCTACATAAACTTCCTCCGCGGGCCAACTCTGCCTCTTACCAAACTACCTTAAGTCTATCTCATAGTAATACAAAATATACAAACTAAAGAAAAAAGAAAAGAAAACTACTCTACTCTTCCATCACTTGTCCTCTGCCACCCTCCTGTTCTTCTCTGCCTTCCTTCTCTCCTCCAACTTCTTCCTCTTCCTCGTTATCCCCCTCCACACCTTCATCTGCTTCCTTGTTCTTGTCCTCCTCCACCTCCAACTGAGGTCTCTTCCACCCTCCACCTCTGCACTTGAACTCAGCTGTCCTGGCCGCTTGCGCATCCTCCCTCCTCCTCATCTCTGCCCACTCTGCCCAGGCACAGTACAGTGCCCACTCGTTGGTGGTCCACTCTGCAGCCTCTGCCATCTGCTCCACTGCCTCTGCCATCCTCTCGAAGGCCAGCGCAGCAGTCTCATGTGCTTTGGCCTGCCTTTCCATGGCCTGCAGCTGCCGCTCCCTCTCCCATTCTGCCCACCGTGTGTGTACCCCCACCCCTGAGGGACCCTCGAGGGGGGTCGCTGGCTCGTCTTCTCTGCCTATCTCCCACTCGTCATCTGCTTCCTCTGTCTCTGTCGCTTTCTCCTTTCCCTTCCCTTGTGGCTTCTTCTTCTTCTCCCTGTCCCTGCCCTCTTCTGCGAAGGTCCTGCTGCCACCTCTTCCCGCATCCAGCTGCAGGTTTTCTTCTTGTTGTGGCAGGGCACACAGGCCCTGGTCTTACCTTGCCCTGGCTTGCACTGACCCACTGTCAGACTCACTATGCAGCAAGTGCAAGGGGGCTGCCTGGTCGTGGTGACCACCACAGAGGTCCCAGGGACCCTCTGGGCGGTGTTGACATTGTAGACCGCACTGCTTAACCTGAAATAAAAATACAAGTCAGCTCCACCTGACTCGTAGGATTCTGTCACTCACCTTTGTGTGGCCTCATCCCACCTGGCCTGGGCCCTCTGCCTCTGCTTCTCTGCCTCTTCTGCCACTCTCTGTCTTTGCCTTTCGGCCTCTTCCTCTGCCACCTTCTTCCACTGCACTTCCTCCTCCTCTCTCTGCCTCCACTCCGCCTCCAGTCATGCCTCCTCTGCCTTTCATCGTCTGGCCTCCTCCTGTTTGGCCTTATGCTCTGCCTCATGCTCTTTCTCTCTCTGCTCTGCCTCTGCTTGCCGACGTGCTTTCTCTGCATTCTTCTTGCACTTGGTGTCAGTTGAGTTGTCAGTAAGGACAACCAACACGTCATCTGTGACTTGGGAGTAGTCATGGGAGTGGCCTGGGGTTGGCTGGGGGGTTGTGTTCTTGTGCTGGAAGGACATGGTGATGAGGGAAGAAGGTACGAAGGTTCAGTACCCTAACACATGTTTTTAAGCAGTACTTTGAACTCCAACAGAGCTCCACTGCGGCTAAAGCCATCATCCTTGAGGCATCAAAATAATTTCAAATGATCAACTTGTGTTGATCTCATCCCATACATGCAGCCTTCAGGGGTTCAGGCCCTAAGGGGGGGGCACTGTCATAACTGTGCATTTGTCATAGGTCTTTGCTCACTCTGCAACCTTTTCTGCCAGTCATCTGCTCACTCTGCACCAACTCTGCCCAACTTCTGTTGGTTGCGAACCATCTCTGCTCTGACTGTTGTCAGATTTGTGTTGCTCTCCTACCAGACCAAGCAGTCTGTTCTCTGAGGGGTCATGTGACTACCTTTGCAGTCAGGTACTCCGCAGCATGCTCACTGCATGGTCCAGCACCTGGACTATTTCCTTTTCTGGATGTTCTGTGTTACCCATTTGTATGTCCTCTGTCTACCCTTCATTTGTCATCCAGGAAATTTTACTTGAAAATTTATGAGTCTCCATATGTCAGTTCCAATTCTGGTTACTGTACCTCCATAGCAGTATAAAAGCATGTACTGTACTCCACTGTTCTTCAGTACAAATATCAACTTAGTTCCTACTCCCTCTGATTCCATCTTCTGCCTGTCAGAGTTATCTCTGACTCTCCATCTGTACTCTCCCTCTGAAATATGAGGGCTGAGATCATGAAAGGGGGTAGCGCACAAGCTAAACCCAACACCCTCACTCTGCTCTGCCTTTGTCTCGATGGTCTTCATTCCTGCTGACACTCTGCTAGTTGGAGTTCTGTTCTTCTGTGTCGGACTTGCTTCCAGACCCTCCTCTAGACCTTATTTAGCATCGGAGTTGGTCAGAGTAGGCCCGGACTTGACAGAGGGACCAGAAGTGGATGCTGACAGGCCAGACATAGTAGACACTTTGTACCAGACTTGACATGTTCAACTTTCCTAGGATTAGAACTCACAAGTGGGGCTCATAACCTTTTGGAGGATGACAAGCTGCAGGATTGTCAAGTTTATGGAGAGGAATATACTCAGACTTCAAGTTGGTTGAAGCTAAACAATTAACTACCTATGGAGAGGAATATACTGTAGGTAGGTAAGTAAGTGTTCCAATATAATGAATGGAAGGAGTCCCACCTCAGACTTCAGGTTGGTTGAAGCTGAGGTGCAGTAAGGAAAAAAATAATCTGCTAAGTGTCCGCTTTTGGATTATGTAATGCTGTGCTCGGTGAACCACAACTAAGGTAAAAGTGATAAACTCCAACATGTCCAACCTTGCTTCCCATAGTGTGAATGATATTCTCACCATTGTTCCTACAAGTTTAAATCTTGATTGATCATTGCCCTATCAGTGAACCCATCATTGTCAAATATGTCTGCCAAACAGTCCCACCAAGTTCATTTCAATCATCAAGGTGAGGTTGTCTTCATTGTTGGATCCAGTGACCTAAGCCATCCACAACTAATGTAAGACAAATTGAGCCAAGGCAATCTAGCTCCTGTGTGAAGCAGTCCAAAAATCTGGAGGAGATGCTAGTACAACTGCATGAGTTGCAAGAGCCAACCCCTCCACCAATTGTCTCAAGTGGAAGGGCAGATATGGTGGGGTTGAACATGGATATCACAGCCAGTGAGTGAACATGATTTCTCTCCAAGCTAAACAACAAATGTTCTTTCACTATAGATTCATGCGAAAGCTTGCTGGATCAGTTCCTGCAGGCAAGGGAGCCAACTGCTCTGGCAGAGGGCAGAATTGCAGCCAGTGAGTTGGCATGATTGCCCTTCAAGCTAATGAACAAACTAATTTTCTAGTAATAGATCCACATGACAACTTGATGAATTGGTTCCTGAATGAATGGGAGCAAACTGCTCCCCCAGTGGATGGTATGAACATGGATCTACTCAAGCAATTGCTGAATGTGCAGGAACCATTGGCACTGCCAGTCACACATGAGAAATTAAACAGGATGGACAGGTCTTCAACACCTGCACAAGACATTACTATGCAGGTTGATTTTCTGGCAGACTTGCAGAATGTGCAGGAATCATCTCCTCTGCCCATCACCCATGAATCATGAAATCTGAGGGACTGATCTCCTTGACCTGATTCTCCAACTAACCTGCTTGCTCAATTGCAGGATATGAGGGAACCAATGCCTCCCCCACTCATTTCAAATGTACCTGTCAAATCTTTTGACTTGGCAGTGGATGAGGACAATGGCACAAACTGTTTGACTTTTGGCATGCCTGAACAATCAGAGATGAGGGATCTTTTTGAAGAAATATGCAACAGTGAGCATTTATTTAGTTCTATTCATGTGATTGGTGATATCCATCAATTATGTAGGTGAACTTCCATCCACACAGCAATCTCTTCAAATGGAACAATGGGGATTGGCACCTGTTCCAGGTTGCAATCAAGGTATGGGCATGAGCTTAATCTGATACACCTTTGACATTGATAACTTTAGTCCTGTGTGCCTTACATGCTGCAGTATCTTGCTATTGTGGAAACACCACTCCCAGCGACATGCCATTCAATCCCACCCTTGATAGGAACCTTGTGCAGGGTGTGAATGCCATTGTGAGAGAATTGGGCACAGCTGCAAGGGACCAGTATGGTGCAGCCTCTCAGGGCCTTCAACTCATCAATATGCTTGATTTGATGGAAGTCATTCATTATCTGCATTCTGCCTTTGAAAATTGTCCTGAGCCATTCATCACCAGCCAATCACACCCATCTCACCAGTCTGTGGTAGAGATGGGTATCCTCTACTTGGCATGCCAGATTGAGGTGGCCTCTGTGCATCTGAAGCAGACTGCTGATATTGTGGGATGGCCTGCACATTGGTTTGCAAACCTAGCAATGGACTTGGTAGGTTTTACATCAATTTTTCACAATGTGGGACTGATACATAATTCCTTCAGAATCAGCTTAATAGCTTGATTCTGGTGGCAGTGTTGCATGCCAGTTATACTCCTCCCCTCCCAGTGTGCTACCATGGGTACCTCAGACACCAAGATGATGAGGTTAGCTTCCATGATCAAATGCAGCTAATTCCCCTTAGCACATTTTGCATAATTGACAATATCAGTGCCATCATCCCACATTGGACCCCACACACAGCTGATCCCAATTCTGGCTTTGCATTCCCTTGGTGGCTATATTGTTCTGAGGAATATGCAGCAGATTCCCAAAGCTTGCAAGGCAAGGGATTGTTTTCCACAGCCTGGGAATTTTTTAAGGTATGCCACTTATTCTCATTGCTGCAAATAGTTGATGATGGCCCAGGGCTTATGGCCATTGCCTGAGGCACCAATTTCAGACCGTCTCGATGGCCATATCAAGGAGCAGGTAAACTACTGCATCAAAAATATTCAGAAATATGCCAATGTTGTCAACAGTAGGGTCAACAAATTGACCATTTCTATGCTAGGTGGTGGGCATTGCATGGGTTGTTGGGCATGCTGCTTCAATAGTTTACATGTTTTTGACTATGGAGTTGGTTGTATATACATTGCTGTGAATGCTGATCATTTATGAGATACTGCCCATTCACATGATGTCTGAACCCCTGCCCATCTGTGTGATGTCTGACAATCCACCCATCTGCATGATGGCCTGAGTAGGTTTATTTTTTTTGCAGTTTATGATGCACACCCTTTAGCTCTGAGTACCCACCCAATCCATGATGTCAAAGCACCCACCCATTTGCAAAATCTTGGAAACACCACCTGTCTGAAGTTCAAGAGCCAGCATATCCTAATAAAATATGAGATCCACATCACCTACTAAATCTTACATTAAATTTTGCAACTTCAAATCAACAGTTCTCCAGTTGCAACTGGTCTAGGTATTAGGTCATCCATCTGCAGTGATTGACACATGGGAATGTGCACTGACTGATGTACACTGGCACACATGTAGTACACCAGGCATGCTCTGTCACCATCTACAGCTCCCACCCCATGCTCCAATGCTGAATCTGAAAATGCAATGATTGTCCCTGGGTTGTAGTGCAGCTGCAGATTCAACATTGGAATGACAAAGTCCAAGGGCAGGTAGTCACCCACAGTTACCAGCATGTCATACCATGGATCCCATCCATTGATATCCCTGTGGTAACAAGTTGCCTGATTCACCATCACAGACATGCTGCTATATGTGGAGCTCCATATTGGCAGTATGGAGCTCATATCCGAATCTGCCCACTGTTCTGCCCTGTTCACCAAGGCAGATCAATGCTTCCCTGCCATCTGCATACATTCACAGATGGATGACATGCAGGATTGCAGATAACAGGGCATTGGTGTCAGACATTTGGCTGACCCATTCCCTTGTAGAAGTGTTTTCCATCCTGGATTTGAGCAGCCATGAGGCTTCTGGGAAGCCATTTTGGGTCTTCAAGACAGATGAGCACTTTATTCGCAAGGAAAGAAATGATCACCCACCCTATGACCCTGTGGGAACCATGCAGGTGACAGGTTGATGGCACCTTTCAACTCAGCATTATCACAGAAATATGACTTGTCCATCCACCATGCCTGTGGGGAAGCCTTTATGCTCTCCCACAGTGGTTCCCTCAGAGAATGAAGGCAGTTCCATACATCAGCCTGCCATTGCATTAAGTCAGTAGAATATGAGATTCTCCATTCCCTTACCCTTCTTTTTGGACTGAGAGCATCTGGCAAACACCAAACACAAATGGTGTTTGAGTCAGTCACCAGAATGGATGGCTCAGTCACTTCCACATATCTCTCAGCAGCTTCTGCATTGCAGGTTTTTCCACCCTGATTTTTCCTGATGTTGACTGCAGAAAGATGAAAACTTCCATTGCACCATTATGATGGACTTACTTGGGTGATGATAGGCCTGTGAGATTACTGACGATATGCGATCTGCTTCACATAACACCAGAAATGGAATTGATATATCTGGAAGGGTGTGAGGTCCACTGAATACCTCCTCTTGAAATCTGGCTTTCATGTATGATGCAATGCAGTCTGTTAGTTCCATTTGCCATCTGTGGGGAGTTTTAGACATGTCTTGCATAGTATTCATGCTTGGGGTGGATGAGGTTGGAGTTGAATAGTGGGTGAGCCACTTGCAGCTTGTTGGAAAATTACAGCATGTTGGGACACTTGCCTCAATATTTTGCTGTGATCCGATCAATATGTTGTGACAGTATACATGCTATTGGTGTTGGGCCCATCTTATGTTGCAACAGGGGTGGATCTTACTAGACAGACCCATCCTTGTTTTATGGTGATATAAAAGATATTACTGAAGGGCCCATCCATATGTTATGACCATATAAATAATACTGCTGAAGGGCCTGTCCTTATGTTGTGACCGCATAAATGATACCGCTGAAGGGCCCTTCCATATATTGTGATGCTATAAATGATATTACTGATGGGCCTGTCTTTATGTTGTGACAGGGGTGCATCTTACTAGATGGGCCCATCTATGTGTTGTGACACTGTAAATGATATTACTGATGGGCCCATCTTTATGTTGTGACAGGCATACATGTTGCTATTGATGGGCCTGTCCATGTGTTGTGACCATGTAATTGATATTACTGACAGGCCCATCTTATGTTGCAACAGGGGCATATCTTACTAGACAGGCCCATCCATCTGTTGCAACAATGTCATTGATAATACTGACTGGCCCGTCCATGTGTTGTGACCCTGTAAATGATATATATTGAAGGGCCTGTCTTTATGTTGTGACAGGTACATCTTACTATGGACAGGCCTGCCCATGTGTTGTGATGGTATAAATGATATTATGAAAGGGCCCGTCCATATGTTGTGACACTATAAATGATATTACTGATGGGCCCATCTTTATGTTGTGACAGGGGTGCATCTTACTGGATGGGCCTGTCTATGTGTTGTGACACTGTAAATGATATTACTGATGGGCCCATCTTTATGTTGTGACAGGGGTGCATCTTACTGGATGGGCCCATCTATGTGTTGTGACACTGTAAATGATATTACTGATGGGCCTGTCTTTATGTTGAAACAGGAATACATGTTGCTATTGATGGGCCCATCCATGTGTTGTGACCATGTAATTGATGTTACTGACAGGCCTGTCCTTATGTTGGGACAGGGGTGTATCTTACTAGACAGGCCTGTCTATGTGTTGTAACACTGTAAATGATATTACTGATGGGCCCATCTTTATGTTGTGACAGGCATACATGTTGCTATTGACAGGCCCATCCATGTGTTGTGACCATGTGATTGATATTACTGACAGGCCTGTCAATGTGTTGTGACACTGTAAATGATATTACTGATGGGCCTGTCTTTATGTTGCAACAGGCATATGTGTTGCTATTGATGGGCCTGCCCATGTGTTGTGACCATGTAATTGATATTGCTGAAAGGCCTGTCTTTATGTTGTGATGTGGGTGCATCTTACTAGATGGGCCCATCCATGTGTTGTGATCCTGTAAATGATATATATTGAAGGGCCTGTCTTTATGTTGTGACAGGTACATCTTACTATGGACAGGCCCACCCATGTGTTGTGATGGTATAAATGGTATTACAGAAGGGCCCATCCATATGTTGTGACACTATAAATGACATTACTGATGGGCCTGTCTTTATGTTGTGGCAGGGATGCATCTTACTAGATGGGCCCATCTATGTGTTGTGATGCTGTCAATGATATTACTGACAGGCCCATCCTTATGTTGTGACATGGGTATATTATCCCACAGATGGGCCCTTCCATATGTTGCCAACTCTGTAATCTATCACAGAGGGGCCCCTCTTTATGTTGTGACCCTATAAAGCATATGACAGGTGGGCCTGTCCGTATGTTGCAACCTTCTTCATGATACAATAGGTGGGCCTGTCCTGATATTGTGACTGGGGCACACCCTACCATGGACAGGCCCATCCATGTCTTACAGTAGCTCAGCATACTTACTTGGTCATGGGCCTGTCTATATATTGCAGCATCCTTACCCTCCACAGGCCCTCCCATATGTTGTGGAATTGTGCTTACAGGCCCATACATATGTTGCTCTCACTATAGGCCCTCAGGCCTGTCCATGTGTCATGGCTAATCTATTTAGATGGGCCCATTGTGGGGTCTATATAAGTGTTGGCATTTTGGCATGCAGGCTACCTATATGTTGTGACTAAATGGACTACATGGGGTCAGAACAGAATCTATTGAGACAACTAAGTGATGATATATCTAAGCCAAGAAGACTAGAAAATGTCTGAAAATTCAGAGATATTGAGCCATTGGTGTGATGCACACTGTCTGAGAGAAAAATCACAATATCTCTTTGGAACCTCCATCAATTTGAATGTATGTGGTATCTACTGAAAGCTATGAATTAGGTGGTTTGAACAAGACCAAAATCAGCAAGAAAAGTGCAGCCATGCCTGCAGGACATGGGTAATGATAGTAGATTCCTTCCCAAAAAGTCACATTAGTCACAAAAAGTCAAAAATAGTAAAGTGTTATTTTCCTGATGTACAGTGCAAGTAGTAGTATGGGGGGACCTGAGATGGTATCAGTACTGGCAGAACAGAGCAGCCCAACCATTGAGTTGACACATCACCCACCTAAACAAGTCAATGCATCGCTGAGAACAGTGTTCTGCAACCTGTGACCAACATGGTGATATCAGATTACCCATAATGAGGTTCGCATTACATGATACCATTGTCATCCTTTGTGCTTGCCTGTCTCGAGTCCAACACAAACGGACTAATACATCTCTTTGGGGTGAAGGAACATCGCTCCAATTCTGAAGCCAAGGGGCTGGAACCTGCACCAAAAACTAACGTAGAATTTTGGGGTGCACTGGGGAGACTGAGGTGGGCCTCTGATAGTGAAGAAAGTTACTGCCAACTTTATATGTACTTACAACCCCACTGGTGCGAGATGTTCAATACCATTACTGGCCCAAAGTTTTGATTCACATAGACTTCCAGCGAATAAAGAAATTATGCAGCCTGGCTCCAGCCGATCAGATGACACGGGATCATGGGAGTCCATGCAATCTGATTTATCAGCACTAGGCCATGGGAAGTACCCTGCTAATCCTGGGGCCTGCCTGGGTAATGCTTTGCTCCACTTATGGCAGTTCAGCACTGTGTCACATGATTCAGTCACTTGTAGTCCTAAAAGTGGGTCATCCGACATGTACATTTCGTCCTGAAACTGGGACTAATTGACATCGGCTGGTGGTCCCTAGGGTTGGGTAGGCCGGACTGTGAAGGTGGGGTCAGCCTATGTCACAGGATGATGGATCAACTTCCCTGGAAGTGGGGTCAGCTGACATGACTATAGGATGGATTGATGACCTGGAAGTGAGGTTGGCTGATGCAGCTATGGGATGAATTAGTGTCCTGGAAGTGGGGTCAGCTGACACAGCTATGGGATGAATTAGTGTCCTAGAAGTGGGGTCGGCTGACACAGCTATGAGATAGATTAGTGTCCTAGAAGTGGGGTCAGCCAATGCAGCTATGGGATAGGTTAGTGTCCTGGAAGTGGGGTCAGCTGACACAGCTATGGGATGAATTAGTGCCCTAGAAGTGGGGTCAGCCGATGCAGCTATGGGATAGGTTAGTGTCCTGGAAGTGGGGTCAGCCAACACAGCTATGGGATGAATTAGTGCCCTAGAAGTGGGGTCAGCCGACACAGCTATGAGATAGATTAGTGTCCTAGAAGTGGGGTCAGCCGATGCAGCTATGGGATAGGTTAGTGTCCTGGAAGTGGGGTCAGCCGACACAGCTATGGGATGAATTAGTGCCCTAGAAGTGGGGTTGGCTGACACAGCTATGAGATAGATTAGTGTCCTAGAAGTGAGGCCAGCCGACACAGCTATGAGATAGATTAGTGTCCTAGAAGTGGGGTCGGCCGATGCAGCTATGGGATAGGTTAGTGTCCTGGAAGTGGGGTCAGCTGACACAGCTATGGGATGAATTAGTGCCCTAAAAGTGGGGTCGGCGGATGCAGCTATGAGATAGATTAGTGTCCTAGAAGTGGGGTTGGCCGATGCAGCTATGGGATAGGTTAGTGTCCTGGAAGTGGGGTCGGCTGACACAGCTATGGGATGAATTAGTGCCCTAGAAGTGGGGTCAGCTGATGCAGCTATGAGATAGATTAGTGTCCTAGAAGTGGGGTCAGCCGACACAGCTATGAGATAGATTAGTGTCCTAGAAGTGGGGTTGGCCAATGCAGCTATGGGATAGGTTAGTGTCCTGGAAGTGGGGTCAGCTGACACAGCTATGGGATGAATTAGTGCCCTAGAAGTGGGGTCAGCCAACACAGCTATGAGATAGATTAGTGTCCTAGAAGTGGGGTTGGCCGATGCAGCTATGGGATAGGTTAGTGTCCTGGAAGTGGGGTCGGCTGACACAGCTATGGGATGAATTAGTGTCCTAGAAGTGGGGTTGGCCAACACAGCTATAGGATAGGTTAGTGTCCTGGAAGTGGGGTCAGCTGACACAGCTATGGGATAGATTAGTGTCCTGGAAGTGGGGTCGGCCGACCCAGCTATGTGATGAATTAGTGACCTAGAAGTGGGGTCAGCCAACACAGCTATGGGATAGATTAGTGACCTGGAAGTGGGGTTGGCCAACACAGCTATGGGATGAATTAGTGACCTGGAAGTGGTGTCAGCTGACACAGCTATGGGATAGGTTAGTGACCTGGAAGTGGGGTTGGCCAAACCAGCTATGGGATAGATTAGTGACCTGGAAGTGGGGCCAGCTGACATGGCTGGGGGAAGGGATGATGTCCTGGCAGTGGGGTCAGCTGATGTGGCTGGGGGGAATGAACCATGACCTGGAGTTGTGGTTGGGCAGACACTTTGCAAGAAAGACCAATATCTTGCTAGTGGGTTAGTGGGGCTGGCCAATCTTATTACTCAGTACACTACTTCCTTGGTAGTTAGCTGGCTGAACCCACATGGTTGTGGAAAAATCCTATATCCTATCCTTATCCTGTGGTATTGAAGTTAACTCTACCAATCTGGCCATTGTATTGGAATTAACATTGGGCAAATTTACTCAGTTGTGTATCAGTACTTAAGGAGGAATTGTCCTGCAGGAAATTACTTTTTTTTCTGAACATTCAATGTCATATGAAATTTGAAAACACAAAGCAGCTATTTTTGATTGTAGTACATGCATATCATATGTATCAAGGTAGGGTATTTTACAAAGATTCCAACAGCCAGGATGATGTTTGCCCCTTTCCCTGTGTCAGTTTGGTAGCCCCTTTGGACATGCAGATAGTATAGGTTTGGGGAGGCTGAGATGTGCCTTGTGTGTCCTTCCCACAGCCAGGATTCTTGCACTCATAGGAATAAGTCTGCCCTGAACAACTAGCTTCCCACTTCTGAATGCTATAACACTGAGGGCACTGTGCAGGCAATTGTTGTCCCCAAGGCCTGATGAACTTGTCAGTCCAGACAAATTTCTCCACCACTACCTTCTCCTGCCACAACATCAGGATGATGTTGGAGTGCCTACCCAACATACCACAGTCATTCAGGGCATACCTGACTGCACTTTGGACATGGAAGCCTTGAACAAGGGTGGAGTCAAGGACACTCATGAGGAAGGGAATGGTGGTGACTAGTTGAAGTCTCTCAGCATCAAAAAGCAACATGGACCTTGGCTTGAAGCTGATATGGTGTCAGCCATAACCACCAACATTGAAAGAAAACCTACTGTTGCACAGCTGCCTTCAGTCCTTGGAAGCTCTGCTCCTTCCTTACAGTAGAACCACATACAAAGAAGATGAGGTCTCCACCCTTGACAATGTTGGAGAGGGGTAACAGAAGGCCTTGCAGAAACTGCAACTGGTCAGATGGGAGTGACAGTCAAACAATGGTGACTTACCTCAAAGACCTCTGTGGCTATTGGAACCTTATTCTCCATTCCAGAGAACAGATCCCCCCTGTCTTCATCAGTATGGGTAGTAAGGAAAATGACTACCTTAGCAAAGGTAGTCAGACTTGAAGCTAGCTTTGATGCTGCAGTGTCATAGGCAGCTCTGGACTCCTCAGTGGCAAAGTTGAAGGGCAGTTGTGAGAAGTGGTAGGTGTCTTGTCTGAAATATCCCTGCAACATGGTGTGAAGGATATGCACAGGGGCATGGCCAAGCTCTAGAGACTCAAGGTGGAGGTGGATAATGGCAGTAGAGTTACCAGCCACTTCAGAGGTGGTGGCATGCTCAAACCCCCCAATGACCACAAGAGGGTGTTTCAGGACTGGCTTGCCTGACAAGTAGAAGCCCTGTACTTGGAGTTAGAAGTGATTGGGGTGGCAATATGCACTTACAAAATAGGGCTGAGGACTTTCAAATCTTGTCATTTTCCAATGACAGGAAACACACCTGAAGTTCATCCAGAGTTTGAGTCAATGGAATTAATTCATAAAAGGGAGGTTAACACACCTGAAGGTCACAGGAAGCTGGGTGACCTCTGCAAGGCAATCCTCAGGTACTACAACACACTTGTTACACACTACCCTTCTGCAACCTGCCTGATCACAAGGCCACAATGTCCCTCCATCCCTGCACATCACACAGAACTGCATAGAATGTTAGAAAGATGGATGGAATATAAAAAGAGACTTGCCAAGCTCCTCATCCTTCTCTTCTTGGCAACAGGGGCCTTCCTAGCATGGGCCTTGCTTGACTTGGCAGCATGTTTTTCCCTAGCTTTCAGACCAGCAAGAGATACCCTGGGAGCTCTACCCCCAGTGGTCTTCTTAGCTGTCTGCTTGGTCTTCACCATCTGAGTCTATTATGCAAACATTAGTGAGTGGCAGCAACATATGACACAGAAGGGAACAGTAGCATACCTTATTATCTTTACAAGACACAGAAGGTGTAGGGGACAAGCAGTAAGATAACAATAAATGCATTTAGTTTAGTACATATATCATGCAGCAGGGATAGATATCTACATATTTATGGAAAAGAGAAGCCAATGTATGCAACTACACAACACTGGGCACTGGATAAGCAGATCAAAGAGGGTGATATGTAAGTATCATCTGGACACCATGAAGTAGAAGTCCAACAACATACCTTATTGGATGAGACACAGCAAGGGAGATGCAGTGTGGCAGGAGGGAGATATGAATTGATAGCCTACTAGTGTGTTTTGTGAGTGGTACAGGGACACCAGGAACTGGGACAACATACCTTTTGTAGGATGAGACACAGCAAGGGGGTGTTCTGTGAGTGGTAGAGGGATGCCACGACCTGGGATGACATACCTTTTTTTTTTTGATAAGGCATGGCAAGGGGGTGTTCTGTGAGTTGTAGAGGGACACCGTGAAGCTGGGACAACACACCTTTTTTTTTGGATGAGCACAGCGAGGGGGTGTTCTGTGGGTGTTTTGTGAGTTGTAGAGGGATGCTGTGTGAGCTGGGATGACGTACCTTTTTTTTGGATGAGGCATGGCGAGGGGGTGTTCTGTGAGTTGTAGAGGGATGCCATGAAGCTGGGATGACATACCTTTTTTTTTTGGATGAGCACAGTGAGGGGGTGTTCTGTGAGTGGTAGAGGGATGCCACAAAGCTGGGACGACATACCTTTTTTTTTGGATGAGCATGGCGAGGGGGTGTTCTGTGAGTTGTAGAGGGATGCCACAAAGCTGGGACAACACACCTTTTTTTTTGGATGAGCACAGCGAGGGGGTGGTCTGTGGGTGTTTTGTGAGTTGTAGAGGGATGCTGCACGAGCTGGGACGATGTACCTTTTTTTTGGATGAGGCACAGTGAGGGGGTGTTCTGTGAGTTGTAGAGGGATGCTGCAAAGCTGGGATGACATACCTTTTTTTTTTGGATGAGCATGGTGAGGGGGTGTTCTGTGAGTGGTAGAGGGATGCTGCGAAGCTGGGACAACATACCTTTTTTTTTGGATGAGCACAGCGAGGGGGTGTTCTGTGAGTGGTAGAGGGATGCCGTGACCTGGGACGACTTACCTTTTGTTTTTTGATAAGGCATGGCGAGGGGGTGTTCTGTGGGTGTTTTGTGAGTGGTAGAGGGATGCTGTGAGCTGGGACGATGTACCTTTTTTTGGATGAGGCATGGCGAGGAGGTGTTCTGTGAGTGGTAGAGGGATGCCATGACCTGGGATGACTTACCTTTTTTTTGGATAAGGCACAGCGAGGGGGTGTTCTGTGATTTGTAGAGGGATGCTGCGAAGCTGGGACGACATACCTTTTTTTTGGATGAGCACAGCGAGGGGGTGTTCTGTGAGTGGTAGAGGGACAACTTACCTTTTGTTTTTTTGATAAGGCACAGCGAGGGGGTGTTCTGTGAGTTGTAGAGGGATGCCACAAAGTTGGGATGACATACCTTTTTTTTGGATAAGCATGGCAAGGGGGTGTTTTGTGAGTGGTAGAGGGACACCGGGAAGTAGGACGACATACCTGTTTTGTGGATGAGACAAGGCGAGAGGGCGTTCTGTGAGTGGTAGAGAGATGCCGCGCACTGGGATGACATACCTGTTTTTTGGATGAGACCCAGCGAGAGGGGGGGGGTGTTTTGTGAGTTGTAGAAGGACGCTGCAGGCTACTTACCTTCTTTTTGAATGAATGGGCTTTGTGAGTAGTATGGGACACTGAACAATGCACAATAGACTGAGAAGAATGGCAGCGTCCTGGTGTGTGATGTGAGTGTTGAAGCCATGAGAGGTTCGACAACATACCTTTTTTGTTTTTTTTTTGAAGGGAGATGCGGCACGACATACCTATTTTGTGTTTGGAGAGGGAGAGGCACAAGAGATCCAGAGGATGACAACATACCAAAAAATTTGCTGAGACGCAGCAGGGCCAGAGAGTGGGATAATGCAATGATGGTCGGTGAGGGAGACACTGTGTGGCAAGAGGAGAGGAGCAAAAGACCATGTCAATCTGGATACTCAGATGCACAGATCTTGATTTTGGACAGGTCACGTAGTGAGACCTATGATAATCTTGGACACAACCTTAATTGTGACATGAACAATGTCACAGCTGTCATGATTATCACACATGTCTACCCATACTTCAGATGCATCTCTGGAACATTACATAGGACTATATATGGAGTGGTCAGTCGCCGCTAGGCCGATTTCCGGTTTCAATAAGTGACTACATGTATTAAATGATCCGGTAGTGCTACTACAATACATTTTCTGTGAAATCCCAAGGGTAAGCCACCACTACCACTCAGCCAACGGCACGAGGGAGTGCTTGCTCAGCTTGACAATGCAATTACAAGAATGTCAAGCAAACATTTAGTATTTAGTATATAGAAGCTGAATCTGGTGACAGTGGAGTCACATGACATCGCTATTCGCAATGTATAGTATGACACGTGGTACTGACTCAGAGGAAGTTGCCAGCACTCATGGCAACTGAACACATGCCGAGGCCAAGAATGTGACATTGACGGCGACCTCGCTAGTTGGACTGTGGCCAAACAATGGTACATAAGACTCAAGTATATAAATCCCCCCCAGTCAGTGGCATGTTTTTTCCCTTACTTGCGTTTCCCCTGCGATGTGATGCTTCCCCTCCATTGTCCTCTCTCCCTCCATCTCCAGCTCCCTTTCCCCCTCTCTCTCTCCTGTTTGTGTGCTACGCATCTTTGTTTTATCT